TGGGGGTCCCGTGGATCCCCACAGGAGAGGTAGGACTTCCAGGAACTGGTTCTTGCTTAAATATAAACCCATAAGATAATTAGCAAACAGCCCACTTCTAAGATAAACAAATAGGAGATCTGGGCTCCCTCAGCTCCACCCTGGACTCTTCCCTTTCCACCTTGTGGAGTTCGATACGGGGGAGAAAAGAAAGCGTTCTAGGACCCTGGGCCTAGAAAGGATAGGTCGAGGAGGAAAGCTTGCTGTACACTAGGAACTCTACCTGTGGTGGCAAACCACAGGGGCTGCAGCGGGCCCTAAAAGGTTCACCATTACTGCACTATACTGAGCTACACTATGCTACGTTATGCTATACTGTAAGACTTTATACGCAGCTTTGTCATCTTTAAACCTCTCCACAGAAGCATCGCAATCTCCACCACCCAGTGCCGGAAATGGAACCTAGGACCTCATGCACACTAGGTCACACTCTAGTGCAGAGCTACATCCCCAGCCTGGCATCCAGATCTCAACAGACCAAGAAGCTCAGCTCCGAGAGGCTGAACAGCACATCCAAAGTCACGTCCTTAGCAAGAGATGGAATTGGACCTGCCTAACCAACACAGAACCAATGTTTCAACCCTCCAGGCAGCCCCAGGAAAAGGAGGCCTCAAAAACATCACAGAATGAATCCTAAGTCAAATCAAACTTGAACTATGTCGGCTCAGTTCTATGAACTCAAACCCGTCGAAGCCTCAGTTTTGCTTTAAGGAGGAAAAGAAAGTACTACTTGCCCTGCAGAGGTCCAAAGACCAATTTTGACTCTTCGATGTCAAAATCCAGAGGGGCAAGAGGCTGCCTTGCCAAGGAGCCTAGAACAAGTACTTCCCATATGCTCCTGGAGGGCTGAGGACACGAAGATGTCCATTTCCAAAGGACGAGGTAAAAATCCCACATGTATTCCAACACCCTCACCACAGAGTCATCCTATTAGCGAAGTTTGAAAGGAAACGGGTGACTCAGTCAGGTTACACTAGCCTACAGTGACTCACAGAGCCCTATCCATCGCCTTCCCCCACCCAATTTTAGGCATGTTTGGAAGTCACATCCACCCATTCAATCCAGGAGGCTGAAGGACAGCTCCTCCCAACAGGGAGCTGGGGCTGGAGCCCAGTCTGGCTTCCCCAGCTCCTCATTCAGGCCACCTCGCACTATGAGTCCTTGGAAAAAAACCCTGTTTCTAGGCACTGGGGATGGCAGGAGCTGAATATCCATCCCACTTCACTTCTGAGTTGGTGACTTGTTCAGACTTTTTAACCAAAGAGGACAAGAAAGTTTCCCTCCCCTCATCAATGAGATCTCAGGGCAGGAAAGACACTTAGGAGGCAAAGGTTCAACCTCCTTGTTTTAGAATTGGAAACATTAAGCCCCAGACACAGGGCCTGTTTGTTCAAGGTCACCCAGCAATGTAGCAGAATCCAAGGTATCTACCATCAAAACCAGCAAATCTCATCTGGAATAGTCTCTGACTCCAATCAAACCAGATTATCTTGCACTATCATTCTAATCTGGTTCTGACCTTGGCAAGCCATGAGGCATTCCTCAAAGTGTCAGTTTCTTATAAAAAGAGAGATATAAATTATCTATCTCATCATATTACTAGTAATAAATACAGTAATGCACCTTTTACAGTGAAGTTACATGCATGAATTTATTCATTCATACAAACATTTCCTGAGTACTATGAGACAGATATTTCACTAAAATAAATAAAGCAGAGTTCCTGCCCTGGGTGTGCAAGGGGGTGGGTATTAGCACATGTTGGGGGTTGGTGGAGTCTGGTAATTCCCTGGAGGGAATGCCTTAGATGTCTTTATAGTTTCCACAGTTCCTTTTGAATAGTTAGTCCTTAATTATTAATCAAATATCAGCACTGGGAAAGGCTCTCCAAGCCAATCAGCTCCAACTGTTCATTTACAGATGGTAGATGTCAGCCCAGAGAGGGCAAGAGACCTTCAGGGAGCCCTCCAAAGTGTGGTTCAAATATTTTCCTGGGTGTTTGGTAATTCAGTGAGCTCCTGAGAAGTCCCAAGAGTTCTCACTGGCCACTCAAGGGTCCTAGAACCCACCTGGACTTCCACCCCAACTTCTGGGTAATCAAGGAGAGAATTCTCAGGCAAACCAGAAATGTCTTTAAGATGAAGTACACTTGGTGGGTGGGGGATACTTCCCCCAAAACTGCCTGGGTCTGGAGCCAACTCAGGAGCACAGCCCCTGGGCAGCAACACTTCTGCCCACCCCCACTCCCCAAACAAGGGTGTCTTTAATTGGCCAGGAGGGAGTGGCAGGAAAGCAGATCAGGAGAATGCTCCCAGCTGGACAGGAAGAACTGGTTTAGGATGGCACCCCCACCCCCCCACCCCCCCACCCGCCAAACAGAGGAGAGGGCAGCTAGGTGCTTAGCCTGGGTTCCTTTCCCTAACCCTGAGGCACTAAGAAGAGGCAAGCACCACCAAAGGAGAGAGCAGGACTTTGAACCAAACCTAAAATTTGGGGAGGGGCCCTAATAGCACTGATAGAGGGGAGGACTACTAGTCAGCTATTCTGACGACCTGGATGCTCTCTGCTAGCCCACGGTGGTACCATTTTCTCTCTCTCAATTCCCTCATCTGAGAAGTGACATAAACTCCACATGCTAGTTTTTTTGTGAAGATAAAATGCATCAGATCTGGCTTATGGAAAATATTCAAACCAGGAATGGTGGTATGGGTTTGAAATCCCAAAAACCGGGAAGCTGAGGCAGGAGGATCAAAAGTTCTAGGTCAACCTGGACTACACAGTGAGATACTATATGACAAGAGACAGAGAGAGGAGAGAAAAAGAAAATGTACTCGGTAAATTATAACTGCCGTCAGCAAGTTCCTTCTCTCTTGGCCTTATTTTTTTCCACCTAAAAGAAAAGGGCAAACTGGATCACCTCTCTAGTCTAAACCAAATGTGACTTGGTCTGATTTTTTTCCAGCCATAACCTGGGAGTTGAGAGGGGTGAAAAAGGGAAGCCCTGTGCCCCAAGTAGAAACAAGAGGTTGGTGACATTAGCCAAAAAGGGAGAGCTAAGGTCAGGTTGAGAGAATGACACCTCTCTCAGGAAGCAGCTGCTTGGGGTGACTTTTCCCCAGCTGACACAACCCCCCTTCCCAAGCCACATCCTTCTGACTATCCCCAGGACACCACTGTCTGTTCCTCCTCCCAAACAACCTGCAGGTTCAGCAGCCCCTGAGCCTAGGCTAGCATGTGACTATCCATGTGGTTACCCAGCCACCTCCTGGGTCCTTCCGTCTTTTACTTCATACCACTTAGCCAGTGTTCATCCCTTCAGACACCTCCCAATTAATTTAGAGAACCACACCAAGGAGGCAGAAGGTGCAGTTCTAGTTTTGGCTCAGTCACTAACTTTGCATAAAGACACCCTTGCTTCGGGGACATCATCACCTCACTGTGGACTTTTGTTTCTTCCACTTCAGAAGTCCTTGAGGCTTTCCTGCCCCAAAACCACTAGGCAAGTCTTCAGTTACCCAAGGACAGGATAGAAGTGGCCTCTTGGGCCAGAAATTAGGATAAAAGCAGGAATTAGAAACCATGCTGTCTATTTGGCATCTGACTCAGAACTTACTAGCTAGCTGTGTGACCTTCGGCAAATTACTTAACCTCTCTAGCCTCAGGACCAGTTTTAGATCAGTAACCAGTCGGGTTGTTGCTGTCCATGGAGCTAGTAGAACAGAACCAGACACACCAAAAGCAGTAAACGCTTGCAATCGTCACTGCAAGCCTAAACTGTGCTGGGGATTACTGCTCAGGGTCCTACCCATTTCTCAACAAGAGGCTGGAGGCAGGATCAACTCTCTCCTAAATAACTATGGAGGAAAAGGAGACCTGAGGCTTTCAAAGAAATTACTGTACCATTAATGATTAAATTCCAGGAGCTCATTCCTCCTAAAAACTGGCGCTAAAGAACACAAAAGCTCTTGGAGGCAGATCTCTCCCAACAGTCCTGTGCCCTCACCTTCCTAGATGAGATTTCCTGGCTAATGGGATGGAGCCTCTGGGGGACCCAGGGAGTGTAAACTATGCTGGGCATCCATGGGCAGCAAAGAGGAAGTCTTTATAGGCTCACCAAAGCCTTCTCTCCCCGAGCCCCTTCACTCCACGCAAGGTGGGTGCTCCAATTTCCCCACGTGCAGCTCAACAGAAAAGTGGAGGCTCCACTTGGGGCCAAGTGCTAAGCTGAAACCATCCCTCCTTGTCTGTCCTTAAAGACCAGTCTCAACATTCCAGGGGCCCTAAGGAAAAAGTAGTCACCTCTTGTCCCCGTCCGCCAAAGAATTTGTGTGCATGGGGAAGGTGAGACTCAGAAGAGATAGGGCCACGCGTGCCCCCCAACACACACACACACACACACACACACACACACACACACACACACACACACACACACACGTCAAAGGCAGGGCCGGGGCCAGAACAGAGGTCAGGGCTCGGTACCCCCCAACCCCGCGCGTGGGAAACGGGGCCCCGCTCATCCCCACACCCCTCCCCCTTCCGAGCCCGCGCTGGCCCCTCAGCCCCGGGCCAGCTCTGGAGCTGCCAACTCTGGGCGCCTAGAGAGTGAGGAGGGAGATTCCGCGCTCGCTCGCAGCCGCCCCGGGATCACAGTGAAAGGGCGAGGGTGTTGGGAGGGCGAGCGCTGACACCGGCTTAGTCACGTCGGAGCCGGGAGCCCGCGGCGGGACTGAGGCCAGGGGAGGCGGGAAGAGCAACAGGCCGGGGGCACGTCGAGCGCAGAAGCCACCCTGGGAACCGCCCCGCGACCCCGAGGAGAAGTTTCCACCAAAGTTTCCCGGGCTCGCGGTCCAGCTGGGAGCTGCGCGGCTCTCCGAGCGCACACACACCCATCCCAGCTCTCTGGAACAAAAGAGGCAAGGGGGCCCCCGCACTTCCCCCCGAGTCCTCCAAACACCCACCGACTCGGCAGTAGCGGCCGGGCTGCAGACGAGGAGCAGCAGCAAAAGCGCGAGCGGGCGGGAGGACGCCATGGCGCGGAGGAGCAG